CCCCATTTCAAGACATCTAGATACGCTACTGAGTTACATGGCCAGATGAATGAAAATACTTAATCGATGTGCCACCAAATCGTAGCAGCCTTCACCATGCCCTTACGATGTCACCGGGGACGCAACTGCCAAAAAAACTATTTTTAGCAGCGAAAGGACGCTACCAATAAACAATCAACAAACTACCGGGTTTCTGGGTTGATTTACAAGGTACTAAATAGCTCAACTATTGTTTACTTAGGTGTTAATTGGTAAAAATCGTACACGAATAATAAGACATCACTGACAACACCGGGACGGCAACTCGATTTTGAGATTAATTTTCCGAATAAAGTTATACTAAGTAACTATTGTCTTCAGTTGTCTTTGTTGGTCATTCAACTGTCATTTTATCTATATTTTCGGTGACATTACCATTCTCAATAATCTATAAAACACCAATATATAAATAAAATCAATATATAAATAAAATCATATAATAAATCAAATAGATAATAATACAGTGCTAAAATATATAGGGGCATAATGTTATAATCGTATCAAACATAGTTCATCAATGAAAATTAACCGATATAAAAATACAATAAGAAAAATTACAAATGCCAACAACAATATGAATTTTTTTAAATGTACAATTAATACAGTATTATTTTACAATTATTATCATTATTTACAATTCAAATAAAATGCAAGATTATAATTAATTATACATATTTATAGAACTATAATATATATAACAACAATTATCTTCACGTTCCACAAGACAGTCAAATAATTTTTTTCTAACAGGTGCTATACAAATTCCCCAATTTATTATTATTATTATTATTATTATTATTATTATTATTATTATTATTATTATTATTATATAGAAATTCCCAAAATCAAAGTTAAAAATTGACAAAAAAAATTTACAATTAATAGAGTATACTTATTGTAATTAAGATAATTATTATTGACAATTCGACATTCAAAAAATTAATTCCAAATTCAGCAAAACCAATTCCAAATTCAGTATGTATAATCAATATAGGCCTACGTAAAAGAGGGCGACAGACCGTTAAATTGATTAGTCAAGTTCACAATCACAGTCACAAATCAATTTGACATAAAAGTCATGATGAAAGCTGTTCTATTTTATTTATTGATATATTATCTTGAAAACGGGTATTCTGAAATAAATGCAAGGACTGCTTTCTACAAGGTAAAAAATAAATAAGGCAATTATTCAAAATAATAGATATACAGTACTGTACTCTTCTTTGATCATGCAACCTCCACAACAGATAGAGTAGCTCAACCAGCATCCGCTCGAACATAACCGCTCGACAATCAATTTATTCGCTCGAACCAGCTCTGAGATCACTGCTCGACGTCGGCGCTTCAGAGAAGAAAGGAGGATCGGAAAAGGAACATGGCCCAAAATATTGAAGTTGATGGGAGCGGACCAGTTCCAAAAATTGATTTTGCCGTCAGGGAGGCATTTCAAAAAGAGGATTGCCTGACATTAATGAGTATCTTACGACCAAATTGGCCTCAGAATAATATTCAATTTAAGGTAAAAAACATCGATAGACAGGACAAGGAGAGTTTTCTAGGCTATGCAGAGGCAACCACCTCTCTAGGGCCCGGGCGGACCTCCTTCGAAGGGCTAAAGGGGTGGCTAGAGAAGTAGTAGCTTCTAGCCTAGTATGATAATGTAAAAGTAGAGGCTAGCCTTGGCTCATATGCCTAGAGAGCCTGCAGTCTGTTCAGGTGTACGCTAGCTGGTGACGTTTGCTACTCAACTAGGTCAGGGGTTCTCAACTGGCAGCCCACGGGCCAACCGATTCAGGCCCACGACGAGTGCCTGTTATGTGGCCTGCGAGAACAAGCCAAAAATAGTATTTACTGTTAGGCTTCTTAATAATTTTGCATTCTGTTTTTGCAGACTAGGCCTATATATTGCCCCACAAATTCTAGCATTTAATCAATCAAATCGGAAGAACTGTCGCAAACAGCAAAGATATTTGTGTGATATAACATTTTGACTTTTGCATTACAAAACACAAGGGTAACTTTCATGGCAAAGGATATTTGGCATCCAATGGGTGAACAATAGAAAAACAATTATTCACCCGTCCGCCGGGTGGATAAGATAAAATCGTTTCCACACAGCAGACTGGTGAAAAAGTGAGAACGGCTGTCCACCCGTCCGCCTGTAGATACGCCCCTCAAACACCCTCAAACGGGATGTGTGCCAAAATTTGTATCGGGGACGAACAGCCTGAAAATGACCACCTTTTTTTAAATCGCCAAGCCCCCTTTAAGTGCTACTTTAAACAAACAGTAGGCAAGGCAATCTAACCATGGAGGAAAGAAACAGATAACTATCGCCCCTCTCCCACTAGGAGTTTTTTCCGCATACGAGAATGCAGAGTTGCAAACTCGGCAAAAACTCGTAAGACGATTCGGAAAGCTCGGAGAGGACTCTTGACTACTCGTAGCAGCTCTGAACTCGTGGCGCTAATTTTGTTCAAAATGTTCAAAATCATCATGAACATGTTCAAAATTATCGCCACAAGTAGATAATTCGTAGTAAACTCGAAGAACTCGTAGGTAGCTCGTAGAGTACTCAGGGTACTCCTTCCTAGCTCGTACACTACTCTAAATACTCGTCGGCGGTTTTGTCATCTACGAGTTTGATGCGAGCACCCAAAAACAAGTACGAGTAAGTACGAGTGCACCGAGTTGGCTCGTACTGTACCTAACTCGTATCTAATTCGGTACAAACTTGTTACGCTCTTAATAATCTCGTAGTTAAC